ATGTCGTGCGGAATATGTAGAACTGGTCAATTATCAAGAACTCATTTAAAATTAAGTTCTTTCTAAAATTTTCTCTTATACGTTTAAAAATATATTTTTTTCATTAATGTTAATGTAAAAATTTTTAATTTTGCTCCAAAAGAATCTTAGAAAACTTACCTAACCTTATTATGACAAGAACAATTTATTTAAGCCTTACCCAACTAAATATATTTTAGATTTGTTTACAATAATTTAATATTAAACAAACACAATGAAATATATTTTTTTCGTTAGGTTCAGAATGATTTTGGCGAAATGTTGTTACTGTTCTTACTGCTGAACAGCGGTTTAGTGCCGATGAAGGTAGCGTAGGTATTATTATTATTATAATCAAGGGGAAGCGCTAAACCCGGAGGATTATACAGCGCCTAGGTGGGGGGATGTGGAAGGCATTCAGGCTTAATTCGGGGAACTGGAGCACAGATCCAATTCCCTAAATCAAGAGCCCCTCACCAACATCAAGGAACCTTCCTTGAGGGGGTAGCGTAGGTAGCAATGATACGGCCGTGGACTAGTTTGGCTTTAATTGGGTAGGAGTGAGTACACAACGGGCAGTGTGAGGGAGTGACCGCAAGCCAGTCCGTGGAGGGGGAGCACTTGTGTCTGTCAAGTCGGTCGGCCTAGGAGTGAGAGAGGGTGAGCTCAGCCTCCCACTGAAGTGGGTGAGCCTACAGAGGGCAGCACCTAAAATGCCGCGAAATATGAACTAGTCAGAGCAGACGGCTAGGCTGTGTGTTCTGACAGTACAGGCTGTCTACAGAAATTATTTCATACACAAATTTTCACTTGTCCTATATGCCAAGATGAACGTTGCTATTTAAACCAAGATCGCAAGTTCTGCCTATTCGGCACGACATATATATATATATATATATATATATATATAATATATATATATATATATATATATATATAATATTATATATATATATACACACATATATATATACACACACACTGTATAATATAATTTCCGTAGACATATAACTATGGCTTGCATACGACTTTTTTGTAGTCATCGTCCAGTGTTTACTGTGGACGAGAGTTATTGGTAGGTGACAGTTACCTCATTGCCAATATTCATTGTTTTTTCATATTGTGGTTATTTACATTTGCGTATAAATAACCACAACAGGATGGCATGGTATTATCTGCAGCTTTAGTCTCCACGTGACTGCTTCAAAGTGGATGCTTTGGTTGAATAATTAGCTGAATGTGTACGTCTCTGAACAGTATGTAGGGGGGGGGGGGGTTGTTAAGGTTATTCGCTCTGCTGTCTCTCCATCAAGTACTAAGGTGCTGACCACAGTGTTGTGTTGTCACGAGGATATTCGTCTGCTGCCGATCTGAAGTTTTTTCAAGGTTTTTGTTGCTCCAGCTGTTTAGTATTTAGTTATAATTATTATGATGTTGCTAAAGCTGTTTAGTATTTAGTTATAATTATTATGATGTTGCTAAAGCTGTTTAGTATTTAGTTATAATTATAATAATGTTGCTACAGCTGTTTAGTATTTAGTTATAATTATTATGATGTTGCTAAAGCTGTTTAGTATTTAGTTATAATTATTATGATGTTGCTAAAGCTGTTTAGTATTTAGTTATAATTATAATAATGTTGCTACAGCTGTTTAGTATTTAGTTATAATTATAATAATGTTGCTACAGCTGTTTAGTATTTAGTTATAATTATAATAATGTTGCTACAGCTGTTTAGTATTTAGTTATAATTATAATAATGTTGCTAAAGCTGTTTAGTATTTAGTTATAATTATAATAATATTACTCCAGCTGTTAAATTGACGGGAATTTTCTCTGTAAAATGCAATAGGTTCGAACTTACGAACCTATAATTATTGTTATATAATTATTGCAGCCTGAACGTAGCAATTTATTAATATATTATTAATTCTCAGGAATTATTGTCATTGTGTGTGTGTGTGTGTGTGTGTGTGTGTGTGTGTGTGTGTGTGTGTGTGTGTGTCAATACATATAAATGTATACATGTATTCTTATATACATATAAATAACTATATATACATATAAGTATATAATGTATGTATATACCATTTTTCCCTTAAACCTGAACTACATCGTTTTCTTTATTTTTCTCTTTGCTTTCTCTTTCTCCTTCCTCTTTATCCTCGTCTTTCTCTTTATCTCTTTCTATTTATCTCTAATTATCTTTGTGTGCCTGTCTCTGTGTGTATTTCTCTCATATATATATTTAAGCAGAGATAACTCAACATTTCCCTTCTCTCTGTCAGACTGGACCTGCGTGAGGGTGAGGCTCGGGAGGAGCTGATTGATCCCACCCTCAGAGACCGTCTTAGGGTCGAACCGGGGGGCACTCGCTTGACCCTTGACCCCGCGCGAGGCCCCGACACAGGCACCTACAAGTGTCGGGTCGACTTCAATGACTCCCCGACAGTGTCGGCCATCGTCACCCTCACTGTCTACGGTGAGTATTGGGTGGTTTGAGGAAGATGGGTTGGTGGTGCATGGTGGTGGTCAGTCTTTTCTGTATTAGAACGAAAAATCCGGAGAGTGCATGGAAGTGCGGTGAAAAATATCCAGGGGAAGAAGGGTGTGTGTCCGAGCGTATGGTGGAAAAGATAAACAAGGGAACTGTGTGTGGGTGGGGGGGTGGAGGTATGTGTATGTGGGTGGGTGGGTATGTGTGTGGTGTGGGTATGTAGTCGCCTAGTTGTGGTTGCAGGGGTCGAATCACAGCTCCTGGCCCCAGTAAGTGTGTGTGGGTGGGTATGTATGCGTGTGTGGGGGTCGTCATTATGAGGAGAGGGAGGGAGAGAGAGAGAGAGAGCGAGTGAGCCAGCTAGAGCTGGCTTCATCCTACAGCAGTTACCAGCCAGTCAGTGTTGTCTACACACAACTATTTCGTCGTCAAAATTTATTAACTTTATGGCGCTGTGTGGGGTCCCTACGGATTTAGTGTTTCTCCATCACCAAAATAACAACCGCTCGCATATAACAATATTATCTTCGCTTATCTTGGCTTCCTTCATGTACTGTTGAACCTGACATACTGTTATTGTGTTATCTCAGTATATTATTGTTGCGACTGTTCTGGGAGTGTAAGTGGGAGTTCACAACAGTAGCACCGATAACGGCGTCGTTAACAGGATATCCATCGTAATCCGTTCACTGCTGGACAAAAAAAAAAAGTCAAAATAAAAGTTACGTATTTTGTTAAGAGACTGGTATTATATTTTTGTATAGCCTCTGTGTTGCCTTCGTGTTTACTCGCCTATTTAGGTTTGCAGGGGTCAGGTCATAGCTCCTGACCCCGACTCTTCGCTGTGTGTGTATGGGGGGATAGGTAAGTTGCTCTGATCCTTGTGAATAGCTTCTAATCCAAGGAATCTGAGGTACATTCCTTTCCTCGGATCATACCTGATGGTCTTCCATTCCCTACACTCTGAATGATCTTCATTGTTCCCCCAATAATGTAAATATCTGAATTCTCTTCTACATCCGTTGGAAAAATGGCCTCCTAATTACCATGACCATAATAAACTTTCAAAGGGGGAAGTAGAGGGAGATAAGGGGGGAGATAAATGGTTATAAAGTACAGGGAGATGAAAACACATAATTAAGCAAAACAACTATGGGGGAAATTGATAGCCCTAGACCTTTTGTGCAGTAATCAACACATCAGGCACTTGCAGTATTGCGGAAAAGAGGAGGTGCAAGCAGGTACGATCACAGGAAGCGCTGTAGCCTAGCAGAGGCGCTTCCTGTGAGCGTATCTGCATGCACCTCCTCCTTTGTACCGCAACATTTCAAAGTTCCTGATGTGTTGATTGCAACATGAAAGTCCTAGAACTATCATTCAGCTCCCCTCGTAGTTATCTTGTATCGCTTATTTGCGATATTTGCATAATATGTAATGAAATTACCAGTTTGAGAGATGCAGAAATTAGGTTGGAGTGACAAAGGTTCCCGGATCAAAACTTGTCCACCAAAGATGTCTCAAGTGTATGAACTTTCCCTTTCATTCAGAAATTACATTATCGTTATTTATATTAACATTACAGTCTTGGCACTGATGCTGGCACAGCACAGGAGGAGGAAAGCATAAGCTGTCCTGAATGCTGGTAAACTGAATTAGGTTTATCTGTGTAAACAGAGAAATTTGCCTCTTACTCTGATGTAATTCCTAGTGAGGCCAGAGCAAATAAGACACAGTGTAACTGGATTTAAAAGTTACTGCAAAATAACCTGGTTAAAACTACACCCCTTCGCAAAAAAAAAAAAAAAAAATTCTCTGAACCGTGTTTTCTCAGATGTGCTCTACTGATGTGATCAAACACTTTTTCGGCACCACTTTTAGGACAGTCGATAGTTTGTTGTGGCTGTACCCAATATCTCTGTATTTATTGGAAAAATTAGTCTACATAATTAGTTTGGCTAATGTGTCCCACTTACTTTTAATACCCTATCACTGAAACAGTGAACGCGATGTTTCGCTCTGTAATGCTTTATCAAGTAATGATTTGATGAAGCTCTAAAGAGATCGAAACGTTGTCCCAAAGTGTGTTCTGCAGTGATAAACTAACGTAGTTTTACCCCCTCTCACTGAAACTACGTTTCAACTTGTATCTACATCTCGTTCTGTATCCCACATTCTGGAACTCCTACGACACCGAGTGTGTCAATGTTTACCTTGTCTGTGTCTCTGGGCATTTTAAATGACGTAATTGTCTCCTAGAGGTTCTTCCATAATCTAGTAGCATGAGGCTTCTTCTCTTACATCTTTACATGTTGGTGAGGGGCTCTTGATTTAGGGAATTTGATCTGTGCTCCAGTTCCCCAAATTAAGCCTGAATGCCTTCCACATCCCCCCCCCCCCAGGCGCTGTATAATCCTCCGGGTTTAGCGCTTCCCCCTTGATTATAATAATAATTTACATGTCAGTTGTCTTCGTGTTTAGAAGCAACCTTGTGCGACCCTCGCAGCTTTCTCGTTTGTCTTTAAACGATGTTGAGATTGAGGTATTGCGATATTTATTTGGTGTGTGTGTATGGTGGGAGGTTTGTGTGTGTGTGTGTGTGGTGTGTGTGTGTGTGTGTGTGTGTGTGTGTGTGTGTGTGTGTGTGTGTGTGGTGGGTGGGAGGTTAGTGTGTGGACAGGTGGATATAGTAAACTATCTCCCTTATCCTGTTAGTGTTATACGACCTTTATCCTTTTACCTTTGTACTCACATCTTTGTATCATGTTATCTTTGTACTCACATCTTTGTATCATGTTATCTTTGTACTCGCATCTTTGTATCATGTTATCTTTGTACTCACATCTTTGTACTCGCATCTTTGTATCATGTTATCTTTGTACTCGCATCTTTGTATCATGTTATCTTTGTACTCGCATCTTTGTATCATGTTATCTTTGTACTCACATCTTTGTATCATGTTATCTTTGTACTCGCATCTTTGTATCATGTTATCTTTGTACTCACATATTTGTATCATGTTATCTTTGTACTCGCATCTTTGTATCATGTTATCTTTGTACTCGCATCTTTGTACTCGCATCTTTGTATCGTTATCTTTGTACTCGCATCTTTGTATCATGTTATCTTTGTACTCGCATCTTTGTATCATGTTATCTTTGTACTCGCATCTTTGTACTCGCATCTTTGTATCATGTTATCTTTGTACTCGCATCTTTGTATCATGTTATCTTTGTACTCACATCTTTGTATCATGTTATCTTTGTACTCACATCTTTGTATCATGTTATCTTTGTACTCGCATCTTTGTATCATGTTATCTTTGTACTCACATCTTTGTATCATGTTATCTTTGTACTCGCATCTTTGTATCATGTTATCTTTGTACTCGCATCTTTGTACTCGCATCTTTGTATCATGTTATCTTTGTACTCGCATCTTTGTATCATGTTATCTTTGTACTCGCATCTTTGTATCATGTTATCTTTGTACTCACATCTTTGTATCATGTTATCTTTGTATCATGTTATCTTTGTATCATGTTATCTTTGTATCATGTTATCTTTGTACTCGCATCTTTGTATCATGTTATCTTTGTACTCACATCTTTGTATCATGTTATCTTTGTACTCACATCTTTGTATCATGTTATCTTTGTACTCACATCTTTGTATCATGTTATCTTTGTACTCACATCTTTGTATCATGTTATCTTTGTACTCGCATCTTTGTATCATGTTATCTTTGTATTCGCATCTTTGTATCATGTTATCTTTGTACTCGCATCTTTGTATCATGTTATCTGTACTCGCATCTTTGTATCATGTTAGCTTTGTATCATGTTATCTTTGTACTCACATCTTTGTATCATGTTATCTTTGTACTCACATCTTTGTATCATGTTATCTTTGTACTCGCATCTTTGTATCATGTTATCTTTGTACTAGCGTCTTTGTATCATGTTAGCTTTGTACTCGCATCTTTGTATCATGTTATCTTTGTACTCACATCTTTGTATCATGTTATCTTTGTACTCACATCTTTGTATCATGTTATCTTTGTACTCGCATCTTTGTATCATGTTAGCTTTGTACTCGCATCTTTGTATCATGTTATCTTTGTACTCGCATCTTTGTATCCTGTTAGCTTTGTACTCGCATCTTTGTATCCTGTTATCTTTGTACTCGCATCTTTGTGTCCTATTATCTTTGTACTCGCATCTTTGTATCCTGTTATCTTTGTACTCGCATCTTTGTATCCTGTTATCTTTGTACTCGCATCTTTGTATCCTGTTATCTTTGTACTCGCATCTTTGTATCATGTTATCTTTGTATTCGCATCTTTGTATCATGTTATCTTTGTACTCGCATCTTTGTATCATGTTATCTGTACTCGCATCTTTGTATCATGTTAGCTTTGTATCATGTTATCTTTGTACTCACATCTTTGTATCATGTTATCTTTGTACTCACATCTTTGTATCATGTTATCTTTGTACTCGCATCTTTGTATCATGTTATCTTTGTACTAGCGTCTTTGTATCATGTTAGCTTTGTACTCGCATTCTTGTATCATGTTATCTTTGTACTCACATTTTTGTATCATGTTTCTTTGTACTCACATCTTTGTATCATGTTATCTTTGTACTCGCATCTTTGTATATGTTAGCTTTGTACTCGCATCTTTGTATCATGTTTATCTTTGTACTCGCATCTTTGTATCTGTTAGCTTTGTACTCGCATCTTTGTATCTGTTATCTTTGTACTCAGCATCTTTGTATCCTATTATCTTTGTACTCGCATCTTTGTATCCTGTTATCTTTGTACTCGCATCTTTGTATCTGTTATCTTTGTACTCGCATCTTTGTATCCTGTTATCTTTGTACTCGCATCTTTGTATCCTGTTATCTTTGTACTCGCATCTTTGTATCCTGTTATCTTTGTACTCGCATCTTTGTATCCTGTTATCTTTGTACTCGCATCTTTGTA